TCTCTCTCTTTTATATCAATCTGCAAGTTGTGCAATCTAGCAACAGTTGTATACTCGATATTCGATGTCACAAAGTTCGTCAAATTCTATCTTGTAAACTCATCTTACGAGAAAGCAAAAAAGAGCGTGTTATTACGTACTCGTTTATCGACATATGTATTATTTGCCATCTTTGTCATATTAAATATACAAAAATTTTACAGTTTTCTTACAAATCTGTTCATACATACGTGTCTAATTAAACGCACATTACATATACTTAAAATACAGTACAAGTAATTAATGTCCGAAGTAATACTATAACTGAATCTATTTATTAAACATCACATACCACAGAGAATTGTAACGTATTTATAAATCGCATTATTCGCATTAAACGGGTGAATATCGTCGTTGCTTTATATTGCGGAATAATAAAAGAAAAAAAAAAAAAAAAAAAGAAAAAAAAAGAAACGGGCGGTGGGTAGTAATTCGTTACATCTTGACCCTTTCCTTGACCCTTTACGCAAATACATCTTCCCTGTCGGCTCCGACACCTTCTCCATCCTCCAAGCTGGAGAAATTCAAAAAGTGGGCAGGTCTGTGAATCTCGTGATAGAATTCCTTTGGATTCGCCAATTGCAGTTCGTATTTCATGTTCGGATCGTGCCTCACGCCTGTGTGTGTGATCACGGGTAACAAAAGGTAATAATATTGTATCGATAGTTAACCACAGAATAAACATAATTCAATTGACACGCGTCTTACCCATAAAGTTATAATTCCAAGATCCTTGACTCGGAACCATGAAAAATCCGAGGAAACGATCCGACAACAACATTTGCACCTTCTCGTAATGGCTGGGTAAGTAACCTTTAGGATTATTCCCCTTGTCGGTATTTTGTTTTCCCCATTCGAAACCACTGAAAACGAACGTATGGTTTGAACGAACGGTTTAACAACGAACAAACGACTGAATAAACATTCTGTTCGCTCGAAACACGAACCTGGGTGTTAATTTGTACGCCGTGAGAGAACAGGACCCTGGCGTGAAACTACAGGTAATAACGATAGTTTTCTCTCCATCCCAAATTGGATTCTCTGCCATTATTCGAGCATGCGTGGATATATCCTGGTGAAGCAATGTACCACCGAATTGACAACAAACGATTAATATTTGCACATTGTGCGACAAAGTAAAGAATAGCCCATTTAAATGATCAAATTCAATCGATAAGGATAGATATCCGTGTGCGTGTATAAGGAACGAACCTGCGGAGACAATTGTGGCAATTCGTTAGGTTGAGTATGAATCCAACCGAGAGGCTCCATCTCTTTGAGATACTGATGATTCGGAAGTGTATTGGGTAAGTGAACTGTTTGATGGGTACCCCACTGCGGCGCCATAACTATACATCGTATTTCTTTGACTTGCGGGTTATCCGGTGGACTGATTCCATACAAGTATCCCGCGATCTGTACAAAAGAGAAAAAGAATTGTATCAAATATTTCGTCTTTTTACTCGAGTCGAGTCGAGTCAAGGATTTTCCAAGCGACACACCTGCGCTCTCAAGTCGGAGATGGTAACGAACTTCTTAAGAACGTTCTTTGGCAAGATATAAGTATAACCGGTCTCCTTGATGTCATCGGACGACACGTATATATGATTGGTTCGAAGATGTAAATTCGTAGCCGAGATTGCTCTTACTCGCCATTCAGTTTTCGAACTGAACGTTTGCGTTTCGTAATTGGAAGTTGTTGCCGTGATAATTTCATCTCCGTGCTTGTTCACTGTTCGCGTAGTTGTTGCTGTGAGCTGTGACTGTTCTTTCGTCTGCTTTTCTATTTCAGCAATTTGTTGACGTTGCGCGGATGGTGCGCTAATTTCCATACCCAAAATGATATCTCGAATTTCTGACTGAGTCAACGATGCGACGTTCACACTGAGAATAAAAGAAATTTCGTACTTTTGTTTTTCGTATTTCGGATTTGTATTTGTCAGTGCATATTGCTGCACGAAAAGAAAGAAAAAGATAACTATCGCACGTACTTGTTCTTTTTACCATAGTCGGCCAAAATAAGATCTTTCAATTGTACTTCGACTTTGATCCATTCGTCGTCTGTCAAAGAAGGCCATATGTGATGCGGTTCCGTTATGGTTGTTTTATCAGGTTTTAGAACAACTTTTGTCCTCTCGGTGTTAACGTGTAACGCGCGAAGGATAAGAATCAAACGTGAGAAAGCCTACAAATAAACGCATAAATAAATAAATAAATAAATAAAACGATCCATAAATGAGTTGTACGAACAAAGGAAAACGAGTTAAAAATGAAATGAAAATAAAAAAAGAGAAAAATATATAGTTACGTTTATATACTTACCGTATACGACGAAATAGTTTTCAACCAATCATCGTACAAGTTGAATAATACCATTTGAGGCTCTGTTGCCTTCAATATTAAATCGCCAAACTTTTCGACTTTCAAACAAGCTTGGAATGGTAACTGAAGCTCCGATCCCTTGATCACAATGTTCGGGAAATCGAGCAAATGCACCTCCAACGGATCCAACATCCCCTTTCTGGTTACTATAATTTGCTTAGGTTGTTCCTCGACCGGTAAAGATCGAATAAGCGCGGCTACTTCCTCGGCGGTTTTCCATTTTGCCAACTGTTAAT